TCACTAAGAACACTTCCTGGCTCTGGGATGTTGCCCTGTGGTACAGGAGTGGCAGAGGAATGGCAGGACTTCGTAGCAAGAGGGGAATCACCAGAGCTGCCAGGTCTCTCTCTTCCCAATACTCCAGAGGCCGAGAAAGGAGGACTGCCATGCCTTTTAGGCAGGCCTGGGCAACAAAGTGAATTTAGGCTACAGCGTGAGAACCTGTCTCAATTAAATGTCATGGGAACTTAGAGCTCCTAGAATTTTGAAAGTTATGTTGTGATACAAAAAAGTTAGCAGAACGAGAATCAGGAAAAATTGGGTTCAGAGCTTGATTCTATGACTTCAGGCACCTGATTACCCTCTCTGTGCTGCTTCACCTGGCCAGTGGAGAGCACAGGAGACCACCTACCCACCGAAGATGCTCTAGGGCTTGAATGACACGGAGGAGAGTTTCAGCACAGTGCCCAGAACACTACAGGAGTCCCAAGGAATGCTTTGTTTCTTTCTTCCTGTTGGGTAATGAGGTCACCCACCCCACCCAGGAAGGGAGAAAGTCAAGAAACTGAGCCTGGGGTACAGCAAGTTGAGGAGGGAAAGGAAGGCTTACACACCTCTCTGTGCTCCCTGACCGCAATAGCAGGTTCGCGGAGGAAGCTGCCTTCCTAGAGAGTTTCTGCCTGGGCCGCTCTGAGGGGGATGAGGAAGAGGAGGAATTTCTTCGTGGCCTGCTGGGGCAGAATGAAAAAGTGGAAGAGCAAGCCCTACAGTCCTGCTTCTCAGACTTCCCACCACAGGACACCTACGTGTCAGAACGCTGAAGGGGCTGCACGGGCCTAAGGACCCCTGGGGGACCAGGAGAGCCTGCCCCACTGCTGCTGCTGCATCCTTCAGACTGGGTCCCACTGGGCTCCTCACTGCCCCCTTGAAGAGCTGGAGGCCCATTGCTCAGGCCAGGTGGTCCAGAAGATGGCTCCATCTCCAGTTTTCCCTCTGTCTGGGTGCCTCGGCTCACCAAGGAAGGGCTGCACGTAGGTGGCAGTCCTGGAGGAGCCATAATGCTGCTGAGGAGACAGCAAATCAAGCTGATGCCCCAAGTTTCCAGGAAGGAATAATGAGTGTACTGACATGCATACCTGTCCCTTGTTGAAGCCAGTATGCCAGAGTCCTGCAGGGAGGTGGAGGGGCCATGCAGCCGCAGCAGGCGAAGGGCTTCTGCTAGGGCTGCCTTTACCAGTTCCATCTCTTCTTCCTGCACCCGAAGCCTCTGGCTCAAGGTCTGCAGGGTCTCATGAGCAGGGCCCTCACCTGGAGAAGGGGCAACAAACACTCAGAAAAGTGCCACTACCTGGACAATTAAGGGGGTTCTGTCCTGCCCAACTTTACAACCCAACCATTCAATAGGACTACCCACTTTCAAGCAGTCCAAAGTTTGTAGGCTTATCCAGAGGGGGAAAGACGGATGGTAGAGGATCAAGGACCTCCTCCTCCTAGCAGGGCATGCAATGAGCCTGGCAAAACTCCCTTCCTGCTGCTATCCCAGCCTCCGCAAAGACAGGGAGTACCATGGAATACGGGGTGGGGGCGGGGTGGAGGGGTATGGAATACTGCCGAGGTACGTGGGAGCCAGAGAGGGATGCAAGAGCAAAATGGGTGAGGAACTACAGCCCGCTCATCCCACCAGCAAGCACAGTCAACAAGCTAGAAAGTGGACAGGACAGTCAGACTGAGCGGCCAAGGTGTAAGGAACGAGATCTGGTGACCGTATACAGAGTAACAACGGAGAGCATTTACAGTGTACATCCCAATGTGACTGTGGGAGTCAGAAATAAAAAGAGCCGGAATTCCCGGGGAAGAGGCCCAGAGTGACACAGCGGTCAGGGAAACTTAGAGAACCAAGAAGTAGAATGACATTAAGGAAGTCCGAAGTGACAGTAGGAGGTTCTGAGGAACTAGAGTCGGACAACCTAAAGAACCGAGGAGGATGCTCAGAGCCCCTGGGGTTCAAGAGCACGCGGGCACGCCACTAGACAGCCGTCCAGCACTGGCAGTGCCCGTCGGGCTGGCGCTCCCGGAATCCGGGCCACGCCGTCCGCCCCGCCCCATACTCACCGGGCCCTGCAGCCCCGTCCATCCGGCCCCCGCGTTGCACCGAGCGGCAGCGGCGGAGGCGTCTAAGCCGCGGGGGCCATGGCTGGGGAGAGGGGAAGGAAGCACCCCGGGCGCGCGCGCAGAGGGATGCCGTGCCACCCCCGGGGGGCGCTGTCGGGCGCAGGGGACAGGCTTGGAGGGGGCGCTGTAAAACCCGGGCCTGCTACTCTCCGGGGGGTGGGTTCCTCGGGGTGCGGTGACAGGGCAGACCCGAGCCCCAGCGCCGCAGCACAAACAGGCGCGGGACCCGGAGTCGCCAGCAAGCGCGGGACGGGGGCGGGCCTGGGGGGGGGCGGGCCTGGGGGGGGGCGGGCCGCCAGGTAACCCTTCCCTGTCCGGACCCCCCCAGGCTCTGGCCGGGGGCGGGGACACACGGTTGACCTCTCACCCCACTAGGCTCTAGCCGGGCTTCCGGGCCCCAGGCTCCCAGAGGACTTGGGAGGGGACGCAGGGCCTGAGGTCTGGGTCTCTACTAAACCCGGAGCCGGGCGTACCAAACTCTCACTTCCGCGAAAGGCCAGGGCGGGGTCACGAAATGGGCTTTCTGCCTGGGGGCGGGGCCTTTCCTAAAGGGCAAGACTAAGGCATCCTGAATTGGGGCTAGCAGAGGGTTATTAAGGCTGGAGTGGGAGGATGCCCAGGGTATTGGGGTCAGGATGGCATTAGTCCTGCTGAAGCTAGGCTGGGCTGACTCAGCATCCTGCCTGCCCTAGCCAATCCGCAGCCCCGACGGCTCCTTACTCCCTTGGGCAGAGATGGGAGATGGCGCCGGTGCTGCCCGTGGTGCTGCCCCTCCAACCCCGTATCCGTCTGGCGCAGGGGCTCTGGCTCCTCTCTTGGCTGCTGGCACTGGCCGGTGGCCTCACCCTCCTCTGTAGCGGGCACCTCCTGGTACAGCTGTGGCACCTTGGCACCTTCCTGGCTCCCTCTTGTCCATTCCCTGCCCTGCCCCAGACTGCCCTGGCAGCAGGAGCGATGGCTCTAGGCACGGGACTAGGGGGTGCAGGAGCCAGCCAGGCGAGTCTAAATGCAGCTCGCTACCCTCCCTGGCGAGGGGTCCTGAGTCCGCTGCTGGCGGCTGGCACTGCTGCAGGCGGAGGATTGCTGGCCCTTGCCTTGGGGCTAACCCTGGTTTTGCCAGCAAGTCTGCACCAGGGACTGGAGGAAGGCCTGGAGGCTGCCTTGGCTCACTACAAGGACACAGAGGTGCCTGGACACTGTCAGGCCAAACGACTGGTGGATGAGTTGCAGTTGAGGTACCACTGCTGCGGACGCCATGGCTACAAGGATTGGTTTGGTGTCCAGTGGGTCAGCAACCGTTACCTGGACCCCAGTGACCAAGATGTGGTTGAGTGAGTGATTGATTTGCTTCTCTTTTCCTTCCCCTCCCTAGACTCCCTCCTTAGTCTTGAAATTCTCACTCAGGCATGCAAAAAATAGAACACAGTAGCAAAGAGAATGGATTACAACTCTGTTTATCAGCTGTGCTGCCCAGGGCATGTTGCCAAACCACTCTGGGCCCATTCCTCATCTGTAAAATGGAGATAACTGTACCTGTCTTTATCTTCTAGATAGGCTCCTATCTGACGGAGCTGTGGAGATAAATTAATTAAGCGCGCTCGGCTAGTAAAGCACTCAGTAGAAGTTTTACAGTAATTTTTTTCAACTGCCCCAGCTCTCAGCTGCTCCTCTAGGCCTCTGTCTGCAGTCATCTAACTATGTGGCCTATGTTTTTACAGCCGGATCCAGAGCAATGTGGAAGGTTTATACCTGATTGATGGAGTCCCCTTCTCCTGTTGCAACCCCCACTCACCCCGGCCTTGCCTGCAAAGCCAACTCTCAGACCCCTATGCCCATCCACTCTTCGATCCTCGGCAACCCAACCTAAACCTCTGGGCACAAGGGTGCCATGAGGTACTGCTGGGGCACCTGCAGGGATTGGCAGGCACACTGGGAAGCACGCTGGCTGTCACCTTCTTGCTGCAGGTCAGTCAGCCAAGGACCCCACCTCCTTCCACTTTCGGCTCTGGTCCTGGTTCCACTGACCATCAGTCACTCTCTCCACTTGTTCCTCACAGGCTCTAGTGCTCCTCGGCTTGCGGTATTTGCAGACAGCGCTGGAGGGACTTGGAGGAGTCATTGATGGGGAAGGAGAGACCCAGGGCTATCTTTTTCCTGGTGGGCTGAGAGACACACTGAAAACTGCCTGGCTACAGGGAGGGACTGCCCGCAAGCCAGCACCAGAGGAGGCCCCACCAGAAGAGGAACCTCCCAAGGAGGATCTACCTGAGGCCTAGTAACCTGAGGGGGGGGCAGTGGACAAATATGAAAAACTTACCTTTTTATTTTATTTTTTGGTTTTTAGAGACAGGGTTTCTCTGTGTAGCTTTGGAACTCACACTGTGGACCAGGCTGGCCTTGAACTCACAGAGATCCCCCCCCCCCCAGCCTCCCAAGTGCTGGGATTAAAGGTGTGAGCCTCCACCGCCCAGCAAATTTACAATTCTTTACTAGGGCTGAGGAAGGAAAGGTCCGGAGTTTACAGGAGTTAGAGCAGTCAGACAGACTGGAATGAAGAGGAGTCCGGGAGTCCTGGAGCCTTTGCAGCCAGAACCAGCCAGACTGAGAATAGATCAGGGTGACAAGAAAGTGACGCCCAATGGACTGGAGACTGTTGCTAGTATACAGATTCTACAATAAAGTTTGTGGATGGAACCCACTGCTGTCTCTCTTGTCTAGGGGATGGGGCCTGAAGGACTGATGTCTGTGCAGAGGAGGAATCGGCCTGTGTAGGGATAAACTGTCGCTATCTCTTGGGATTAGAGCGCAGCAAGGAGCTTTGCCAAATGAAGAGACACACGAGGCCCTCCAGGTTGAGATTCTTTATTCTAGAGGTAGGAAGGGGATCCGCATGCTCAGGTGGGGAGGGTCCAGCCCAGCTCCTCTAGCCCCCCAGTGCATGCTTGTCCCCAATAAGTTACCCAGTTCCCTTAACCACCCTCCCTCCTGAGTCCATCTGTCCTGCTCCACCCCAGATGGGGCTGACCTGGCTCAATACAACAGCTGCTTGTCCCTAGCCTGTGGGCAGTGCCACATGGCAGGCTGGGGGAAGGGAGGGAAGCAGCTGGGCCACACCCTGTGGTTGGAGGGGCTGCCTCTGGTTCTAAGGGGTCAGGTCTTTTTTTAAAAAAAAAAAAAAACCCACATCCTGGATTGGCCTGGAGCCCAGTCCCACAAGGTATGTGCCTAAAATAAGTAGAAGTCAGGATGAAGCTGCCATCACACCTCAATGGCTGGGTCTGAGCCCTGGCCCTGCCGCTGCAGCTGCTCCTCCTGCTTCATCTTAGGTTTCTCTGTCCGTGTGTGCCATACTAGTACCTGTGAAGGAAGGGTTAGGGTCACGACCAGCCATGCCCAGAGCCCTGAGGTATGTGTTCTAGAACAGATCTCACCAGCCCCCTCTTTTGCATTCAGAGTTGGTATATAATCCATGAAGTATGGGGGTGGAGGAACTTTGCGGCCTCTAAAATGGGGTTGTTCATGACCCTGCTATACACAAGGGTATATCACAGAATCTGTAAGAGGAAGTGGCAGGAGCCTTCCCTGACTCTCAGTAGTCTTTTCAACAGAGTGGAAGCTGATGAGACCAGAGATCCTGGTTCAAACACCAATTGCACTTCTCCCATTAACTGCTCATCCCAGAACCAGCTTCTCCACCCTCTTACCTGAGTACAGTTGGCAGCCCGTGGCTCCAGGTCCTTGGGATCCACGAGATGGCTCAGGAGACTACTCTCCAGGTAGCCCCGGGGTGCAGTAGCATCAAACTGGGCATTGGGCTTAGCCAACAGCAAGGGCAGGGCAACAGCAAAGCCCGCCATGTCCAGGGGAAAGGGCCTGGTGGGTTCCCATGCTGTGTGGAAACCCACAACCCGGCCATCCTGTACCTGAGGACCCTCAAATCGCAGGCCGCCCACCAGCCCCACAGGCCACACTGAAACACCACGAGTCCAACGCATCTAATAGAGATGAGAGAAAAAAAGAGAGCTGTGGCCCAGGGGAAAGAACCACTTTGTTCACTGATCCCTCTCCCTACTGCTCCCCACCCGCACCCAGCAGCCTACATCCACACTCATCAGCAAGAAGAAGGAAGCTGATGCTAGCTGGCCTCTTTTCCCACCTTCATCCCAGGGCTCACCTCCTTAAAGAGCTCCCGGCTGTAGGTGTTGTCATCGTCAGCAAAATACACGACTCCCTGGGTTCCTGGGGGTGGTGGGTCTTTCTCCCCACCAACAGCACCCCCTCTGCCTCGGAGCCAGTCCAGGGCCTTGTTGCGCTGTTCTACTCCTCGGGGCCGAACCCATCCTGGCTCACCTTCCCTAAGTCGCTGAGCCTTGGGGGTTAGGACAGCCAGGTGTGTGAAGAGGAGACCAGAGGCAGCCAGCAGCCCCGAGACCAGCGGGGTAGGGCTCTCAGCATCCTCCACCAGCACCCAGTGTACACGGGGCACCAGGCTCAGGGTCTGCGACAGCCGAACCAGCTCTGCCTTCTGTACCAACCTGCAGGGGGAGAGATGCAGGAAGGAAGGGGCCAGGCAGCCTTGGCCCACAGCACTTAGGATGACAGCTGCTCCTGGCCAGTTATCATCTCTCCTGGCTTTTTCTCCACCAGTGCCTAAGCTCTGCATGTGGGCACGTGTTATTTAGGACAGAACCCAGGGCTTCGGGTATTCACACGAGCATCAAGACACTGCCACGTTGCCTCCCTCTACCTTAACTGTCAACTTCATGCAGATGTTCACCTGCCCTGCCTTTCCAGACCAGGTCATTACCCACTTCAACCTCAGGACTCAGACTGGGCCAAGACTATAGGGCACATGATTTGGAATCAGATGGATCCGGGTCTGAATAATTTTGTATTTTGTTCTAGTTTTCAATAGAGTCTTATGTTGTTAAGGCCCCAAACTCCACGTGCTGGTGAGGATGGCCTTGCACTCCTGCTCCTCCTATCTCTGTATGGGGTACCACATCCTGCACGCTGTTTTATCAAGTGAAATATGCTGGGAAATGGTTTAATCTATGCATCAAGTTTACTCAGAAGGAAAAGTGGTTTAAGAAGATGGGCATAAGCCGGGCAGTGGTGGTGCACACCTTTAATCCCAGCACTGGGGAGGCAGAGGCAGGTGGATCTCTGTGAGTTTAAAGCCAGCCTGATCTACAGAGAGTTCTAAGAAAGCCAAGGATACACAGAGAAACCTTGTCTTGAAGAAACAACATAAATAAATAAACAAATAAAGAAATGAAACAAACGAGGGGCAGAGTGATGGATACCTTTAATCCCAGCACTTGGGTGGTAGAGGCAGGCAGATCTCTTTGAAGTTTGAGGCAAGCCTGGTCTACATATCAAGTTCCAGGACAGCCAGGACTATAGAGAGAGACCCTGTCTCAAAAAAATAAATAAGATGGATAAGGGCTGGAAATGCATCTCAGTGGTAATATATTTGCCTAGCCTGTACATGGTTCGATCACCAGTAACTAAATAATAAAAATAAAATAAAATTAGGTGAATGCTTTGATAAGTTTTATACATATTTTGGCTTTTGAGATAAAGTCTCACACTTTAGCCCAGGCTAGCCTCAAATTCAACAACTTTCCTGGCTCTGTTTGAATTCTGAGATTACAAGTATGCTATCATCCCTAGCAACAATATTATTTATTTGTTTGTTTGTTTGTTTGTTTGAATATTAGGTATTGAACCCAAGGCCTTGCATATGCTAAGCAAAAATTTAGCCACCACATTATACCTCCTAGACAAAGATATATTTTAGAAAAACAAGTTAGTTTTTCTAAAACTATGCTTTAGTCCTAGCATTCAGGGGGCAGAAGCAGGCAGATCTCTGTGAATATAGACCTGCCTGGTCTATACAGTAAGCTACAGGCGAGTCAATGTGAAACCCTATCTCAAAATTTAAAAAAAAGAAAAGAAAAAATGGAGTCAGAGAAACAGTTAAGAAAACTTGATGACCTTACAGAGGACCAGTGTTTTGAGTCCCAATACCCACATCAACTCACAACCACCTGTAACTCCAGTTCCAGGGGACCTGCCACCCTCTTCTGGCCTCTGTGGCATCTGCACTCTCAGTGCACAAACCTGCACTCAGGCAGGAACATAGATTCATAAAATAAAAAGCAAGTAAGTAAACAAGATAACAAATTCTAATCTATTTTAACCAATTAAATCTTGGAAGGCAAAGACACAGGTGTTCAAGGCCAGCCTGGTCTACATAGCAAGTTCCAGGTCAGCCATGGCTACACAGTGAAACATTGTCTCAAAAAATTAAAGTGCGTGGTTGTGGCAGCACTTGGGAGGCAGAGGCAGGTGGATCTCTGTGAGTTTGAGGCCAGCCTGGACTACAGAGTGTGTTCCAGGACAGCCAGGACTGCACAGAGAAACCCTTGTCTCAAAAAACAAAGCAATCGAAAAAAAAAGAAAAAGAAAAAAATAGTCCTGGTCATTTTTCTCCAGATAAGAAACTTGTTTGTTCATTTTGAGACATGATCTCCTTGTGGAGCCCTGACTGGCCTGGAAGCATCACCGATTATTTATTATGTATAGTGTTCTGCCTGCATGTATGCTTGAAGGCCAGAAGAGGGCACCAGATCTCATTATAGATGGTTGTGAGCCACCATGTGGTTGCTGTGAATTGGACCAGGGACCTCTCAAAGTACAGCCAGTGCTCTTAACTGCTAAGCCCTCTCTCCAGCCCCTATTTGGTTAATTTTGAATGTCCAACCTGAAATTACTTTAAAGAAAGAACTGGAAGCCGGGCGATGGTGCCTTTAATCCCAGCACTCGGGAGGCAGAGGCAGGTGAATCTCTGTGAGTTCGAGACCAGCCTGGTCTACAGAGCTAGTTCCAGGACAGGCTCCAAAGCCACAGAAAGCCTGGTCTACATATCAAGTTCCAGGACAGCCATCCAACTCGGGATGGATGCAAACCAGTAGTCATCAGACTCCCAAGTGCTGGGATCACAAATGTCAACTACCACACCTGGATCTAATCAAAACGTTAGAACTTTCTAACCAAGAATTTAATTAATAAAGAAATTAATTCATGGGGCTGGAGATAATGGCTCAGTGGTTAAGAGCACTAGCTGCTCTTCCAGAGGTCCTTAGTTCAGTTCCCAGAAACCACATGGTGGCTCACAACCATCTGTAATGAGATCTGGTGCCCTCTTCTGGCATGTGGGCATACATGGAGGCAGAATGTTGTATACATAATAAATAAATCTTTTAAAAAAAAAAAGAAATTAAGTCATTGTTGAGCTCAAATTTTCTTTCAAACTTTAGTGTCCTATTTTAAAATTTGGCAGTAACTCAGAGCAGTGGTGGCACACACCTTTGATCCCAGTACTCCCCAGGAGACAGAGACAGGTAGATCTTTATGAGTTCAAGGCCAGCCTGGTCTACAGAGCTAATTCCAGAATAGCTAGGGCTACAAGGAGAAACCCTGACTCAGGGGAGGAAAGAAAAAGTTTAGCAGTAACTCAGTAAAACAATCTATTTCCTATTATCATTTTGCCTATTTTTTGTTTGTTTTTTGAGACAGGGTTTCCTAGTAGCTTTGTAGCCAAAGTCCTGGAACTCGCTCTGTAGACTAGGCTGGCCTCAAACTCACAGAGATCTGCTGCCTCTGCCTCCCGAGTGCTGGGATTAAAGGCTTGTGCCACCACCGCCCAACTTCTTTGTCTATTTTTATAGGGGAAAAAAAAAAAAAAAACCTTTCCCACAAACCGTATTAAAGACAGATCATTTATCTTGCCATTTTGCAAACTCTAGTCTGAGGACTATCCTAGTTTAAATTCATCATTAGCCCATCTTTTTGGATGTACCAAAGCCGTACCTGGCATAGGTGGGGGTAATGACATAAATAGTAGGTAGAGCCTCAGGTTCAGGGGGCTGGGCTGGGACAGGGGGTGGGCGGCGGAGATCAGCTTGCAACTGGGAAATCCTCAGGTCCTTCTGTCGAAGCTGCTCAGCTGCCGCTCGCAGTGGAGAGAGGCAGTCACATGGCTGGCCTGGTCCCAAGATGCACCAACAGGGAATGGGAATTGGGGCAGAGAACCACAAGACAGTAAGTAGTTCGGCAACCCAGAGTCAAAAGCCTTTTAACTCCTAGCCAATACTTTTTTTAAAAAAAAATGTTTATTTATTTATTATGTATACAATATTCTGTCTGTGTGTATGTCTGCAGGCCAGAAGAGGGCGCCAGATCTCATTACAGATGGTTGTGAGCCACCATGTGGTTGCCGGGAATTGAACTCAGGACCTTCAGAAGAGCAGGCAATGCTCTTAACCGCTGAGCCATCTCTCCAGCCCTATTTTTTTTTTTTTTAAAGCATGGTGGTAGGCAGGTCACTTTCAACTAGCAAGCACACTTTATCTTTCTTCTATTGTTGTCTTGTTGTTGTTTTTTTTTTAATTCCAAGTCCCTTTTCTTTCTTAAGATTTTATTTTAGTATATAGTGTTCTGTTTACGTGTATGCCCGCACACCAGAAGAGGGTACAGAGCTCATTATAGAGACCACTCGGTGCTCTTAACCTTTGAGCCATCTCTCCAAGACTACTGTTGTCATTTTAAGACAAGGTCTTGCTATATGGCCCCAAGCTGGCCTCAAACCCTTAACCCACTGGCCTGTTTTCCAAATGTTGGGCCACTATATTCAACACTTTTTTCTTGTTATTATTGTGTAGTCTTGGCTGTCCTGGAACTAGCTCTGTAGACCAGGTTGGACTTGAACTCACCGCTGGGATTAAAGGCATGTGCCACTACCGCCTGGTTCAACTCTCATTATTAATCAATTCCATCTGTCACTTTTTTCTTTGCTGAGGCTTCACTCCAGGGCCTCAAACTTGCTTGTGCTCTATCACTGCACCCTCAGCCTTGCTACTATTTTAACTCGAGCTGGTTATCTGCCAGCCTTCCTATCCTTCCTACCTATGATCCTAATGTTACCTTCTAGACTAATAAGGAATAACAAATCTGAGCCACTCGACACACACCTAATGGCAATACCTGAGAAGCGTTTACCCAAGTTTCTGGATAAAAGGCTGGATTCAATCTGCTCCATGGTCTGTGACCACTGACTTGTCAGTAAATTCACTGATTCCATCACTGGATAAACATTTATTGAATACTCTTGGGAAACCCTCTTTAAGATAAAGCAAAGAGGGGAAAAAAGGGCCCTACTCTCACGGAGCTATCACTCTGGTAAAAGAAGCAGACACTAATAAAGTCATTACAAATTGCGATATGGGCCACTTAGAAAATAAAATATTAAAAAGGAATCGGGACTAAGAAGGGTTACTTGAACTAAGGTGGTCATGGAAGTCTTCTCTGCGGTGACATCTGGCCTAACACCTTAAAAATGAGAAATAGATGGCCTGGGGGAGGGGGGGGACCAAAGAGCTTGAGGGGAGAACGAACATGGGATTCTCAAAAACCTGTCAGGGAGGGGAGGGGTGAGAAATGGGTTGCGCGGCGGCAGCGGAGGCGGCGGCGGGATCATTCTGGCCTGGCTGGCATTCGTGGAGCTGCAGACTACGGAGTTCTAGACATGGGGCCACCGAGAGCAGTCCCGAGGGTCGAGCGGGAAGCAGCCGTCTGCGGGGCTCATCCCCCTGCGCCTAGGGCCGGCCCTCCGCACCCCGCCCCGCCCCGCTCACCGAGCTGCACCAGCGCGTAGAGGAGGCCAGCGATCGACACCAGGAAGTAGGCAAGAAACACGTTCTTCAGCTTCAGCTTCATGGCCGCGCCGCCGGGGCAGGCGGGGTCCGCCGGGGACCGGCAGGGACAGGTCCGCCCGCCCCTCGGCCCTCCCGCGGGCCCCGCCCAGCCCCGAGCCCCGCCTTCCCCGCGCCCCCTTGTAGTAGTTCTCGAGAACCTGGGTCTCCGAGCGCCACACGGGGCCACTTCCGGCCAGTAGTGCCCCTTTCCAAGGTAATTTCCGGTCCCTCCTCCTGGTAGGCCAACCAGGGTGATGACGCCATGTCCGCTGTGTCTGGCGTTCACGACCGGCAGTCAGAACCTTGGTGGGAGCACGTGGGACCTTGCTCAACGTGGAGCTAGGACTTGAGAACAAGTCCCGCCCCTTCCCGAGTTTTTAGTCATCCATTCATTTTTCAGCCTCTGCACCAGCGCTGGCTGTCCAAAGAAACAGCCATTCAATACTCGTTCAACCATTGAGTGAAATCTGTGGCCTGCCAGGTGCCAGTCCACTTGAGTTGGGTCTGTTCCAGTGGTTCTCAATCTTCCTAACGCTGTAACCCTTTAATAGAGTCCTCATGTTGTGGCGACTCCCCAATCATAAAATTATTTTCCTTGCTACTTCATAAACATAATTTTGCTGTTATGAATTGTAATGTAAATGTTTCCTGAGGTAAAAGGATACCAAGTTTATAAACTGTCACTAGAGCAATGGGTAACTTTATTTACTAACATTTCATTTATATATTTAGTCGGGGAAGTAGCTCAGTTTGTAAAAGCGCTTGTCTAGTATGCACTGGTTTACATCACCAACATGAACCCGAAAAAGTGGTGCTTGTCTGCAATCCCAGCACACCATGGAAGGTGGAGGCAAGCTCCTCCATTACATATTAAGGTGGAGAATTCAGGGTCAGCCTAGGCTACCTGGAACCTTCCCGCATAGATTGATTTGTATTATTGTTTCAATATGTAACTAAAGAAAACACAAAAGTTGATGTTCATATCAGTAAACATTTTCTCAATGTTACATCATTATGATGAAAACATTCAAAATCCTTTCATTTAGCTACAGTCACCTACTGCTCTGGGAGGAAGGAGGAATCTCCAGCCAGCTCAGAGGAAACAGGATGGGGAATACAGAAGAAAGGTAACCAAGCCACATAAAGGAATATGATTAAAAAATACTAAGAACTACTTAGGGCTGGACGGTGGTGGTGCACACTTTAATTCCAGCACTTGTGACGCAGAGGAAGGTGGATCTCTGAGTCTACAGAGCGAGTTCTAGGACAGCTAAGGCTACAAAGTGAAGCTCATGTCAATTTTTTTGAGCTGGTGGTCCAAAGAAAACCCATGTAGTTTTAAGAGGCATAGCCCAGAATAGCTTCTTCCAACATGCATAGTAGTCTTAGGACTTGAACGCCACCTGCCTGCACAGCTGCTCCTCCCCCGCATCAAAAGGGTCTGTTGTCTAGTATGGTCTTGAACTCCTGACTCAGACAATCTTTCTTCCAGTCTACAGAACAGATGAGTAGAAGCTCCTTCCTAGCAAGTTCAACTAACAATGGGAGGAGGATATTTTAAATGCTGGTACAGCATTTTCTGTAGGTCTAATCCCCAGCAATGCAAACCAGTTTTTAAAAGCTAAGTGTAGTGATATTTATCTATAATCCCAGAATTAGGGAAACTAGGGAAAAAAGGATCAGGTGCTCAAAGCCAGTGGGGTACATATAAAAATCCTGTCTTAAATTGAGCATGGTGGCACACATCTTTAATCCCAGCACTTGCGAAGCAGAGGCAGGTAGATCTGAGTTCCAGGTCAGCCTGGTCTACAAAGTAAGTTCCAGGACAGCCAACAATAAATATTACAGACAAACCCTCTCTCATAAAAACAAAACAAAACAAAAAAAGCAAAAACAAAAAATTTAAAAAGTGCTATTAGCAGCTGGGCAGTGATAGCACATACCTTTAATCTCAGCACTTGGGAGGCAGACAGGCAGATTTCCATGAGTTGAGGCCAGCCTGGTCTACAAAGCTAGTTCCAGGACAGCCAAGGCTACATAGAAAAACTGTATCTTGAAAAAAAAAAAAAACATACAAATGACAACTAGTATGTGTGACATGTGTAGGCCAGAGGCTAACTAACTTTACATATTTTCCAGGAACCATTCTTCTTTTTCCATATCTCTCATTGAGCCAGAGCCTCAAGGATCCAATGTCTTCATCTCCCCAGCACTGGGGTTACAAATGCCTGCTGCGCTACACTAAGTGTTTTTTCACAGTGGGTCTGTGGATCAAACTAGGGTTCTTACAGTTGTAAGACAAAGCAATTTTCTGACTCATCTCCCTCCTAAGACCCCTGGCTAGGTTATTCTATACAGTACTGGCGCTGACCGAGCTAAGGAAGCCTCATGCTGGCTCATTTTGCTAGAATGAGGCAGTTCACACATATTAAAATGGAAGGCCATTATTTTCTGAAGTACTTCAGTTTACAGCTATAATTTAAACAAATAATTATTATGTATGGTTTATCTTTTTATTGTTTCTCCTTTTATCAAAACTTGTCACAGTTAGGAACCCAAAGGAAGTAAAAAAAAAAATCCCCACAAACATTTCTCCTGGTTCCTGAGTCCTCCCTCATCCCTCTCCCCTTCCCAGGGTCTGAAGTAATCCCTGGATATACATGATCATCTCCCCCCACCCTCAGCCTTCTTCCCAGCAATAAATACAGGTGACCGTGATTCAGCGAAACCACAACTCATTTCTCTATCTTGAGTGTCCCCAAGGGGACCAGAGGAGGCAAAAGAAGTTTAATAACTATCCCCTCTTAACTGTGTGGAAGTTTCTCCCTCAAGGGATGGGAGAAATGCAGCAGCTCTGGAAAAAAACAGGGAAGAAAAGGTTGAGAGGAGAAGGAAGAGGATATTCTCCAGCAACCTGAATCTTGATCCACTCGTCCCTCACCAGTAAGGGATGGTCCCAGTGTATCAGTGGAACGGAGAAAGGTGAGGGTTGGGGGGCAGGGGGATGAAAAGGATAGGCAGCGGGAAAGAAGAGAACAAGGAAGAAAAAAAGGAACTCTAAAGTTCACTGCCCTCATTTTCTTCCAAGAAATGGCATTAACAGAAGAGGCAGAATAGACAGGGTCTGAGCAAAAGTCAGGGACCCCAAGGAGGGGAAAGAGAAAGACAAGGCCCCTCGGGTCTTCA